AGGTCAAATAATTGCTATTGAAAACCAAAGAGAAAACTTGGAAAAATAAAAGTGGCAGTCCAGGATGGAGAATAGTTCAATAATCTGTCTCCTTTGCTCTGAGCTACTGTAAATGACCTGGCTATTTTTGTATCATAGATGTACAGGAACATTTTCATTCTTAAAGCTTGTGCAATATTCCCTGCTGGTTTTCATGGGAGTCATAAAATTAAAGTACTGCAATAGTCTTTACTACTGAATGTTATGTGCTCCCTTTCCTAGTCTAGTTTTAAACATTTTACTTCTCTAGTCTGGAATAATGTCTTTTATGTCTGAATATGAAAGTGGCTTCAAAGTGAAACTCCATGCTGTGCTTAAGTTCAGTGCAATGTCTGGAGTGCCTGTAAGATGTCAAATAGAGTTAAATGAGCTTAAAATTGTGCACAAGGTTCACACTAGATACCTACCCTAGCTGAAATGTTAGCAGATATTTTTCTTAAGGATTTTGTCTTCATAAAAGAATGCAAGATCCTTGAATTAAGTTTATGTTCATGTCAACAGGCACATTTAAATTAAAATTTTTAAGTTTGCAAGCAAGTTTTTGAAAGATATGTAAAGTTTAAAGAGGCTGCATGCTTGAAACACAGGGACTGTAGAAAGTACTGTTTAAAAAAAAAAAATAAATTATTACTGTACCTCATCTAACTTAAGACATCCAGTAAGCAAAAATCTGTGTCTGAGTTAGCCACTGAAGCCTTCTTTATGCCAGTCAGTGGGGGAATAATTTTTGGCACTTCATCTGAATCTAATGTAGATGTTTAACATACATAGGTTGCATCACGTCTACAGTCAAGCAAAGTGAACCTCACCCAAATTCTTTCATGTTTCATAACCTCAGCCATCATCCAGGGCTGTTAACATTGATTGCACTAAGGATATGTTTGGAACTCATGGGATTTGATAAAAAACCATGACATTTATATGTGCTGAGGAATGTACATATGAAGTAATTAAGCATTTGCCTGTGTGTGCTCCCCTAACTGGGATCCTAGCTCATATGCTGGTTAAGTGCAGGAAAACAGTTGGAGCAGCACTAAGTGCCAATCTTTAATAATTTGTATTTCTGAATAGTTCTAAGATTACAATGTGAAACTAAGACATTGTAAACCTATTACTGATCCCTTAAGACAGCAAACCATTCTTTTTTTCTAGCAAATTCAGAAACTACGGAGAGAGCTGGTTGCATCACAAGAGAAAGTTGCTACCCTTACATCTCAGCTTTCAGCAAATGTAAGTATTTTTGCTTGTGATCATACACAGTACAGAGAATAGATTATCAGACTGGCTAATAGCTCTTACTCAATTCAAGTACCAATACGTGGTCTGGGAGACTCTTACTATTTATTTATTCTGGTGTTTTTCAAATTAATTATTTCTTTAAGTGTCTGTATTGCCTCAGCTTCAAGCAGAAGAAAACTTGTAATTAAACACAGAGGAAATAGAAATAAGAGTTTCCACACTTTGGATGTGACAATAGTCCTATCCAGTTCAGTTTCACTTTTTCCCCAGAATCAATTTAATGAAACCCAAAAGTAAGGAAGCACAACCAAAGAAAGGGCATGAACTGCAAATTCTGATAGAATTCATTAGAGTTTAATGTCACAAAGATAGGCCCTGCAAAATACAGATAGATGTGGAGGAAAAAACAGTATACAATTATATTCAGAATTCATATGCTGCAATAACTGTGTTGATACCTAACTAATGGAAACTGGGCTATGTCATAGAGAGCTCCCTGATGTTCCTTCCAATTGTTGTACACTGGTAATCTGAGTTATTAAACACATTATCAGAAAATAATGCCAGATAGGGAATGTGAGCTCCAATCCTGTCTGGTTACTATGGTTTCAGATGATGTTACTGGATGGTTACTGAACAGTCTGTTGCGTAGTGATTTTAAATGCAGTTCAGGATATAACTTTAGTTACTATTCCCAAGGAAAACTGAGATGCAGTTGCAAGAGAGTATAATTTTGCATTTCAAGATAGCAGTTTCCTGATATTCTGGGCAATCTAGAGTGTGCCTTTCTTTGAAATGTAGATGTACTGAGTATTTAGAGCTATAAATATGGCCATTACTTTCAAGAAATTATTTCAGTTGGTGAAGTAGTACTGTGTTCATGTTGTGGGAAAATTATCTCTAGCTGTCTGGAAGCTGCTTGTTCTGTTAGGGCTGCCATAAGTGAAATGTGGAAGAGCTACTCTTAGCACTTCCTGCTCTGTTTGGGTGTCTGCAGAACACCTGTGATTATTTGTACTTCTGTAGCAGTGTGGGTTGCCAGTCTGTCCTGAGTTCTGAGAAAGAACTAGTGAAGCAGACAATATTGGAGTCCTGCAATGTTCATAATTTCAAAAGCTAGATTCTGAGTTGGGTTATTCATTCAGGAATTTATAGCCAGCATGCCTATCCCCAGTATGGGGTTCCATTTCTCATATGTTTTAGACACTGATCTTCATCTTTGCTAGTTGGGGCAATTCTTCACTCAGCTCTCCTGAGAACAATAAACTAAAACCAACACCAAGAGGTTCAGAAGAGCTAAGCCAGCATGCCTCGAGTAGTTGTGTTTGCTAACAAGTCCGTTGTTCTCTTCAGGGCTTTTCTTTCCACCAAGAACACAAGGCTGCAGCAGCTCTGCCTTGTGGTGAGGAGCACAGGTAGGCAAGCTGTGGCTGAGCTTGTGACACAGCACAAATGCAGACATCCCTACTTCCACTCTGAGTGCCCTGTTAATGCCAATGCAACAGGAGCTGCTGTCATCCAGAGGACCTAGCTTGCTTCCTGCAAGCCCCTGATCTAGTGAAAGATGTCCCTGCCCACAGCTGGGGCATTGGACTATATGATCTTTAAAGGTCCCTCCCAACCCAAAGCATTCTCTGATTCTGAGCAGTGGTGCCACATCAGTAGGACTAAATTGTTTGCCTGTGGTGGGTTTGTGCTTAGATGCCTGTACTACAACTGTTGTGGGAGCCCCTCTGATGGGGATAACTTGGACTCTTGGTACCATTCCTCACTTTATTCTGGGGGTAGAAAAGCAGTTTGTCCTTCTTCCTTCCAGTAGTTCTGAACAGAAAGCACCGGTGTATTCCTTCTTGCTGATGTGTTGAAAAAGAGAGTTGCAAGATGACTGTGTTTAGTCACCCCAGTGACTTTTTCAGTAACCCCAGCAATGCTATAGCCTATAGTATAGTAAAAAGTGCAATAGAGTGAGGACAACAGGGTATTCTCCTCTGCAGCTGAGGCAATGAGGCCATTGTTTGGTTCATTTGGGCAAACTGTCCAAATTATCCCCAGTGTTATTTAGAAGTCATTGATTATATCTCTGGCCAGTATTCCTTTGTGTAGTCAAGACTGTACAGACTAGTTTCTAATACTATTAGAATAATATTACCTATTCCAGGCAAATTTTCAAAGTCAGCTCCAACTTACAATTAGATTTGGTCTGTATTTCAAAGATACTTATTCAATTTAAAAACAGAGAGTTACACTTTGGTTTTCACTCAAACTGTTTTTGCTACATGGTTGAGAAATAAGTTGGGTTTGATCTGTATAACTCACGTTGTATTGGTTGGGGATCTGGTCCCATGTTCTGCCTCTGGATGTCTGAACACCTAGTAAAAATGCTCACAGGTTTTCTACTGATCTAATTTGAGAGGTAATATTTTCAACAGGACAGCTGAAAAATATATACATGTGCATCTGGTTTTGTCTATCCAGAAGGTACCACATTTGTAAACCTGTATGTGCTTTTATGCATACATACATATATATATATATATATATGTGCACGCGTGCCGTATGTTGTATAAAGGTTAATTTAATCAAGTTCTTTTGACTCTGTCACCCACCTTCTAATCCATCTCCGTGGAGACAGCCCTTAAACTCTAAACCTATAAGCCACCCTAAAGCTGATCCTTTTAGCACATGGGGTTTTTAATTGGTACCAGAGAAATCTTTCCTTTTCCCAAATCCCCAACATGTGGAAATTCCCTCAAAACTAAACTTGTCAGGAGCATGAAACTTAGAGGCTTCAAATTCTCCAGGCATGAACAAGGGATTTAGATGCCTTCACAATGAATACAATCTTAAAAGAAAAGCAGATATTACTAGATACTATAAGTAAATAATATTTTTGAATGTTGTCTTGAGAGATATACTTTACAAAACCAAAAATTGAAAAGTATTTCACAATAAGCCTGGTTCTGAGTTCATTCTCTGCTATTTCTGGTACAGAAGATGTAAAGCATTAAAAAAAAAATTTCCACATAAGTCCAAAGGATCAAAAGAGACCCTTTAAAGATGTGTTAGTACTAATTCTATCAATCATTTGAGTACTTTATGTAAATAAATTCTAGAAATTATCACTTAAACATCAGGAACAAAATGCAGCTTGAAAACAGGTGTATATTTAATGTTTTAATTGTGATATGGCCTCTGAAATTTAGTCTAATTACAGAATCGATATTTAAATGCCAGTGATTATATGCTTTTCAGAAAAATGATGAGAGTAACTGACAAATATTTAATTTAATTTGACAAATTTATGAAAAACCCAGATGAGCTAATTTTCATGAACTTGTACTGTCTTAGCAATGCTTTACTTGCATATGTTCTTTTATCATTTATCTCCTAATCTGAGACACATTTCACCAGTATTTAAAGAAGAAATAGTCCCAATCACAAAAACTGGGATTTACCCTTAGAGAAGAAATCAAAACCATGTTTTACTCTCTAAATGGATAATACCACTGTGACCTTCATTTTGAGTCACAGTTGCATGCAAGTAGGGTAAAACCTGAACAAACAATAAGTCTAATGCATAAAAGAAGTTTAATCACTGACTATCTTTTCTGTGGATCCATTCATCTCTGGCAGGCAGAGAACTGCATGAACAGAGTATCTTCTGCAGTGCCTTTGCTGACCAGAAAATTACTCAGTCCTTTATAATACCTTTACCATAAATGCAATCATCTTAGCCTCAGTCATAAGGTCTTCCAAATTTCCATACTTTCAATGTCTGAAAATAGGCAGCACTTTTTTCCTCCCTGTGGTCTGGAGAAGGAAACTATTAATAGCCAGAAATCTTGTTCCCTCACAGTTCATCTTGGGTTTGAATTTGTTGTTACCTTTGTAGAACTGAGCAAAAGTATCTTACGCGATTGAAAAAAGAGCATATTACTCATCTCATTTAAATACTATCATGTCTGTCTTCGCTTCACCACAAAAGCCTGTTGGTGACAGTAGTACACGTGTCATTAAAAGACTGTCAGACTGAAATTTGACCTATTTTATCAAGCCTTTGCTTGGTATATTATTTTATTTCAAAATCTGTCAATTGGAAGTTATAGCATTTCTCAGGCATTTTGGAAAGCTCTCCTAAGGATTTTCTTATTTGGTTTCATGTATTATTCAGGTTTTGTTGGCTGGACTCAAGTACTATGTTTGATTTCAGCAGTTTATTTCATTTGATTAACCCCCAAAGTGTTTTGCCTGCATATGATTGAATTCAAGCAGGGCCCAGCTGTTGTTTGGATGCTTAATTTACAGTTTTTTTCTGAGATTCTGGCTTTTCCCCTGATGCCTGTTTTGATGTTGCTGAAGGGCAAATCTCAATACTAATTAAGAAAGGGCCTGATTTCAGTGCAGAAAGTGTCCAACCAGCAGACTTCGTACATGACTGACAAGGGCTCAAATTCCAGCGAGCAGCCTGAATCCAGCCTGTTCAGAGGGACTTTGATCAGTGCTTTGTACTGTACAAAGCTGAAGGGTGCATGCTTGCAAACTGAGGTAGACCCAGGATGCCAGTAGAAAGTGGAGGGGGTTCGCTGGCTAAAACTCTTGTTTGGCCAGCTCTGAACCACTATCCTACAGCCAAAAAACAAGATAATAGCAGGCGGCGAACAGAAAAAGTCACCAGATGTACAATTGCTTCTTGCAATCAGCCCGATCCCTTCTGGCCTCTCACACCTCCTGTCATTCAGCCGTGTCAGGTGGGAGGAAATTTATTTATTTACCTTTTTTTTTATCAACCTGAGCACCACAGGTCAAATCGCAAAGTGTGTCAGCAGATAGTCTTTGAATATGGCAGTGTCACATTCAAGATGGGCTGTACACCTAAATGCTGAGTTATTCAGGGTTTGGCTGATTGGGATCGTTTACTAAGAAGGAAATGTTTAAAATCAAATCTGTCATCCTAGTAATTCCCTGACCATATATCTATTTGACTATTTTGAATGGGAATTTCACATGTTAATAGAAGTCAAGATTAATCCATAGGTGATGGATCTACAGCTTAAGACCTATATATCAACTGTGTATCTAATATGTATGTCATATTAAAGATGGATATATTTTGCTGTAGGAATACTTCCAGTAATGCCCAGTTTCTTAACTCTAGTTCCAGTATATCTATTTCCAATTACAAATGTGCATTCAATTGTGAAGATATATTTTGCATTTAGAATAAGTGTTATTTAAAGCACATGCAGTATTCAGGATATTTTGTATGGTATTCAAATTACGTATGCCATGAATGAATTACTGAATCTAACACAGAGATTTCTAATGTGTAAGGAATTGGCTTTAACTTTAAAAAAAATTTTCGCATCCTAAATATTTTTACGAGAATGAAAGAATGTATCCTTTTGGGTAAAGTAAATAATACTTAGAAACTGAGGATTACCCATCCAATCAAAATCAATTACCAAATTTATAAGTGTAAAATAATTTTCTAACTAGAATTTTTAATTTCTAATGAACATTTTTAAAGTCACAGTTACTTCTTTCTATTTGTTTCAATTCTTTTATTTTCTGAATTATTTTGCGTTTAACAATTTAAATGCAAAGACTGATATTAAATGGGGATATATGCATACATAATTTTTATGAATACTTCCACACACATATAAATATACTGATAGTATAGTCTTTTTCAAAGTAACTTATCTTATTTTATTACATTGTATGTGTTTTGGGATAAAACTGCATAAGATTTCAACAAGCAGGAATTCCCTAGACTGCTGAATAAAAAAACAGTTGCTACCATGGGGAAAGGCAGCACAATTTATTACTCTGAATGTGAAAGTAATATTTTGTATTTCATAGAAGAGTATTCTGTTGTAATAAACATTAGAAGTAATGTTTATTACATTATTAAAATGTTTATTACATATTAAAAATGTTTATTACATTTATTTAAAGTAAATTCAATTGCATTGTGAAGATTTTTGTGATTGAAGTGATTGAATGTGATTGAAGATTTTTTCTTGAATAGTTTTCAGTTGATCAGCCTTTGAATTATGCTTCTTTATTATTATCAAATCAAGACCTCATAGTCTTTATCTCAAATGAGTTAGGAAGGATCCATCATTTTGATCCAATTACATTTTTAATGCAAAAATTGTAATTCACAGGCTGAATTTTAGTAAGAATCCATAGTTGTGACATGGCTGTCTTTCTCTAGAGAATATCAGACAATAACTTAATAGCTTCAGTGACCATTGATGACATTTTTAATGATGCTTTTTAGTTCTTAATTTTTCCTATGGGTTCCTTAATTTTTCCTGTAAGTTCCTTGTGGTTTATCAATGTACAATATAAGCTTATAAACTGAAGTTGTAGCTATGGGATAGGAGAATACTTTGCATAAATATGCATAGTTAGGTACCAAAGAAATGTGGTTATCACAGTCTAATTGTGAGAAATGGACAAAAGCAATGCATAATTAAGCAAATCATTCATCTTTTCAAGCCTTCAGTCCCCATTGTTATTCTCATGGTAAAGCAGAACCATGGGCCATCAGCCAAGTCATAGATTTTTTTATGAGGCAGGGAACAGTGAGCTCCATTAGTTTCCTGTTAAACACATGTAATCAAGAGACATTTGGCTATAATTCTGTGGTAGTGCATCTACTTTGTCTCTGATTGTGTTCTGGCTCAGTGGTTATCATCTTTGGAATTAAAACACCATAAATTTGTATGGATATTTTTAATATATAGCTAATTATTAAAATGAAAAGTAAGTTTAAAAAATAGTTAATTTTGTCTTTTCAGAGGATTAGAGTAGTGAAAACAACCAAAGACTGCAGTTTCCAAACTAGACAGAATATCTTTCCATCAATTGACAGTTTTCAGAGGTGTATTTGACATATATTCCAGGTTCACTTTATTTAAAGTTATAACTTCAAGGATATAACCCAAGTTATAAATGTTAAAACATAACTATGCACAATTATGAATTAATACTTAAGAAATTGCATATGTATCTAGTTTCACGTTTATCAAAAGTTATTCCCTGGTGTATGTATCCTTTACCAAAAGAATTATCCCTAAGGGATTCCTGCAGATGGAGGAAGCAGATGGATTGACCACTATACTCATGAGTAATTAAATAAATTATTTACTAATAATATAATTTACAGGGAATAAACTTGTAATAAGTTTTATAAATATAAAATAAGAAGTTTACAAGATACTGAAATGTTTATAGCAGTCCAAAAATATTCACAAAACACAAAAACCACTTATTAGTATAACATCTCCGAAACACAGGAGTGGGCCACTATTACATGTATGATAATCTTTTTTTGTTTGAGGAATAGCATACAGAGCAAGGTGACAAGAAGCTCTTTTTCTTCTAAAGTGTATAACAGAATCCTTTTTGGACTATGTCTTTTTCTGCTTATACCTCAGATTCAGTACAACCACATACGTTTGAACATTTTCAGCTATGCTTGTACAAGCATGCAAATCTGTAACTGAAAAATTTGCCAGGCACTGTGTGTGCCTGTACTGTTATAATAAAAAATAAATTTTCTTGGTGAGGAAGCTTAGTTAATCCATTTGTACATATAAATATCTTGTTTGTGATTTATATTTCCAAGTGTATTGTAGTGCCTATGTTTGAAAACTTTGCCTATTACCTCTTTTGAGATGGTAAAGAGAAAATAAGTATTTCCTTCTGCATTTACTATTTGGTGTTGTAAGAGGAGTGGATGGAATTTTATGTAATTTCATAAAAAATAAATTCTTACTTTCCTTTGGCTGTACAAGTTGCCTTAGCTTGTTGGTTTCTTTATGACCACTTCCTTTTCTTTGCCTACAAAGCTCAATGTCAGTTAGAACTAATGAAGACTTGATGTATTGTTTATAAAAATTTTGCTTGCATAAAGGGTGAATGTTGTTAGAAAATAAAATAAAACTTTATTTTTTAAAAGCTTTTAATAAATTTTAACTTTATTGCTTTTCTTACTGAGAGGCAGAGCTTACAGTTTTCAAGATTGTATTTTGTGAATACATTTGCACATTTATATATTACATTTATTTTTTATATAAGTTTTTATTATTTTATGCACACAGAACACATATATTTATAATCAATATAAGATGAATAGACTAAGTAATGACCTTTTATAAAACTAACTGTGATATTTTTTGTTTAAGTCTCAGGATGCCTCTGAAGTGTTTTATTTAAGAGGTTAAAACTTACCTTTTCAGATAAAGTATTTGAATTCCCATGTTGAAATGTTCAATAATTGAAAACAATTGTTCCTGAACTTCTATTTGGGAGCAGACTTCTTTTGGACAATATATCAATAAACTCAAAGCAGGGCATTAAATCCATAATTCATTTCCAGGCAGAGATACCTAAGGTAATATTCTTGGGGACTAAGGAAGCCTGAGGAACACTGGGCTCACTTGGCTGCTTCACTTGTCCAAGTGAACTCAGTCTGAGCTTAAAACTAATAGAAAAGAACTGCAGAAGATGGGCTTGGAGGAAAAAAAAAAAAAACAAACAAACAAACAAACAAAAAAACATAGATAGATCTGTGACAAAACCCAAAGTGGGAGTGCTGAATTTCACAGAGTCTGGATATTGTTTGTCCAGACAAAATGTATAAAAAATTCTATATATTCTTGGAAGTTGTAAAGTGCTTTTAAGCCCCCTTGTCAAGACATATTTTCTCTTCTGTTTTTTTTACAGGCTCATCTAGTAGCAGCTTTCGAAAAAAGCTTGGGAAATATGACTGGCCGATTGCAAAGTCTAACAATGACAGCTGAACAAAAGGTATGTTTACTAAAGCAGTCAGCAGATTATATTAGAGTTTTGTTTAAAAAACACTGAAAGGAAACAAGGACAGCTGTGACAATAAGACAGACAGATCCTTCTTTAATGGTCATCGCAATCAAATCTTCATAAAGCACCAAGAGAATTAAACTGTGCAGCATCAGGTTTACACAGACAATATCATAGAATAGTTTGAAGATAAAATCTTTCGTTTCCAGGTTTTAATTAAAACATATGCGACTCTAGGTTTAATCAGTACTGAAAGATCCTGTAACAAAGACTGGTCATAACCTGCTGGAGTGCTTCTTTCCAGTTTGCCAGTGTTGTCAGAGTAATAACAGTATCAGAAGAGAAGAACTTTAAGTAAGGAAAAATAACTCCATTCAGAGTGTTAATGCAAGTTGGGTATTCTGTTCATAAAGAAACAGTCTTGATTTTCACTGTGCTGTTTTGACTGTTGGGGAAAAAATTTAAACCTGATAGGTAGTAAATGTGATGTGAGCCTTTGTACCAAGCTCAGGATTAAGAGGCTGCTTAGCACCTTCCAGGATTGAATTTCTGCAGCTTTCTGTTCTTATTCCTTTTGAACAATATCCTATAAACAGAAAGGCCTCATTGAGCCAAACTATGAAAGAAGCTGTATATCAGTGAGCTACCACTGGAGTCAGTGTAGCTATCTACAAAAATAACTTTTCACAGTCTGGTTAAGTGCCAACAGATGAAATATGGTGACACTCATGGTGAAATGGATAGAAAATATTTGTATCACTTTTTTTTTGTTTGTTTTAAGCAATCAAACACAATGGAATTTTCTTTGAACCAAAACTTTTGACTATTTTACGAAGTGAAACTTCCCTCAGATTTTCTTTCCAGAAGAGGTTAAGCAGTGACATTGAAACAGATCATCTCCAAGCTTCTTTTCTAAAAGATTTGTAATATGTTCTTTTCACTCTCTTCTCTGTTACTGACATTAGATTCCTTTAATCCTTATTATATAAATACAGGCTGGAAGGACAAGTTTAATGCAGCAGTAATAAAAGCTATTTCTTAGTTAAAATTGGCTGTACATTCAAATACAGAGCTTCCTTCACTCAAGTGGAGTAATTTTACCCAATTTGCCAGACATTTGCCATTAAACAGGGGGGGTTAATTTGAATTATTATTTATCAAGTTAAATTGTTTGAAAAATGCACAATTCAGGTTCACATTAATCCAATAAACTGTAGCTTCACTTTATATAGAATAATGCAAAAGAATGTTAGCTGAGTGAGAAAACATGCATTTTACTTAGTTGTTGCCCTTATGTTCACTCAAGTAGTCCCATGAGCTTCAGTTTGACCACCCTTCTCTTGTCACTATTTCAACTTAGACAAAGAGTTATTGTGCCATATATTTTGAGCTCTCTTTGCTCTTCCCACAGGAATCTGAGCTTATAGAGCTAAGGGAGACCATTGAAATGCTGAAAGCCCAAAATTCTGCTGCACAAGCTGCTATTCAAGGAGCCCTGAATGGTCCAAATCATACCCACAAAGGTATGTTTTTGTCACTATCAAAATAAATGCAGAGTTTCTCCCCATAAAAAAAAAGCTAAGTCACTACTATTCCGTTGTTTTGGGGACTCTGTTGCAATGACAGGCACATTCTGTAGTGCATGGTAGACATACTTGTGGTATGAGGTTCCTATTTCCCACAGAGTTAGTTCCTGGAGCCTTGTCTTCTCAGAACTGGGTGGCCAGGAACTGATAGCTGGGTGTCAAGAGTTAACCCTGATGCTGCAGTTGTGTACTGAAGTAAACCCAAGACAATAGCAAAGTCTTACGGCAAGACAGGGTTATACCTTGGAAATGCAGTGTAAGTTGTAGCTCAGAAAATTGCAGTCCGCATTGTGAAGAGATAGACTGACAGCAGCTCAGCTCCTTCACTAAGTGCTAAATCAGTGCAGGAAAGCAGGCATTTTAAATTCTGAATTAATTTTTCATTGCAGTTAGGCAGCCATCTCATGATAAATATACACTTCAGAAGTGCCTGTTGATAAGCAACAGCAAAGGAATTACTCGAAAAAAAAAAAAATAGCAGCATTCATTTTTGAGAGTGTCATTGATCTTTCTTTGAAGAGGTCATTATTTAGATATTTGCCCTAAGGTCATTTCATTGCACGGCTTGGGTATAGCAAAGCTAACTTCTAGGAAGTAAAAAATAATCTAAAAAGTAATTTCCCTTGGTATTAGTGGATATGTTCTGCAAGAATATTTTCCAGTGGTTAAGATACAGTTATCAAAGGCTTTTAAGAAATTGAAACTACAAAAGCCTCACTAGTCATTTTTAACATTCTCCACTTCTCAGTTATTTTGTTTCATTCACGTTTAATGAACACCTGCCTGCTTATTGCCATCATGGTATAATAGAAGGTAGCGTCTAAATAAGTCAAGTAGTCCCTATGCTCCTCAGAACTGTAGTACACATGACAGTAATAAGTCAAGTAGCCCATCTGTAGCAGAAACTGCTCAGATATGAGCTTATGCCTGCATAGATTGCTGTGTGGGGTCAACACCTTCGTACCAATAAGACCCTAGATTGGAGAAGCTCCTAAGTGTTAGCCTAATTGTATGCATCACATTGACTCCCGTGTGGTTTCTCGCAGACTACAATAGCTTGAATCCAAGCCACTGCAAGAATCAATGCCATTTATGTTCCTTTAGGTTCCCTTTCAGGAGGAAGATGCTACATAGATACAAGAATGATTGCTATATTGAAACAGAGACAGATGGATTTCACAGTATTTTATTTTCTTTAGATTTACGTATAAGGCGGCAACATTCTTCAGAAAGTGTTTCCAGTATCAACAGTGCTGCAAGCCACTCAAGCATTGGCAGTGGTAATGATGCTGACTCTAAGAAAAAGAAAAAGAAAAACTGGGTAAGTACTCAGCAGGTTTAAACCTGTCTTTTAGCTATTACATTGTTTCCTAGTGCCTGAATAGCATAATGGCCCATTTCATCTACAGAACTCTTGTGGAGCCAGACAGATACGAAGCAATTCATGTGTATCCACACTGTGACACTACCAGCAAACTAAAAATTGTTGAATATCAGTGGGGAACTATTTGCATGTCAGAATAATTAAAAAAAAACAAAAACAAACAAACAAAAAAAAATCGCACCCACAAAGACCCCTTAAAATAGCTTGTTATGACCAAAACCATCTCTGGGCCACATTGAGACCCTATTTGATTTTCTTCAGTTAGAGTCTGATTCAAAGGCTTGACTTAAATATGTTACCCAGCTATGAACGGAGTTCAAATCTGTTAAGAATTCTCATGTAAAAGTAGTGTGACGTTTAAAGAAATTAAGATGCTTCTCAACTGGAATACACAAATACAATGCTAAAGGTTTAATCAAATACTTTCAGTAAATAACTGGAAAATATGTTTTTGTTGTTTTAAAAATATTACCTGCATAAACATTTGTTTTAAAATACTGCTCATATGAACGGAGTTCAAATCTGTTAAGAATTCTCATGTAAAAGTAGTGTGACGTTTAAAGAAATTAAGATGCTTCTCAACTGGAATACACAAATACAATGCTAAAGGTTTAATCAAATACTTTCAGTAAATAACTGGAAAATATGTTTTTGTTGTTTTAAAAATATTACCTGCATAAACATTTGTTTTAAAATACTGCTCAGCCTTC